ACTCAAACCTGTTAAATTGAGATGAGTTATGTTGCCCACACACATTATTAATTATCAATTTTAGAATTATTTAGGAAAGTTTGTAAAAAAGATCCATAATAAAAACCAAAACTATTGAAATCTATATATTAATTTTCAAAGTCAAAATCAGCATCTGTTTAATATGAATGTGCTAATACTCTTTTTGCAGTATCACCTAGTTTAGCTTCTTTAAAAATAGCAGTTCAAATTTATATGTCATTAATTAATACTTAGACAGATAACAATATTAAATTGGTGATATTAGATAGATTGGAGGCAGTAAATCAATTGAATCCTAGAGTTTTAGAGGATAGAACTTAAGATTTATCTTAATTACTTAATCAATAAAGTATTGACATAAGAAGAAAGTTATTTTAATTGAAAAATGAAAATGTTGTATTATTAGCTTAATCATTGTAAAAAGAATTCTAAAAATGTTAGAATTTAAATGATTAATCAGAATATAAAGTTCTAATGTTATAATTAATCAATCCAATGATTCATAAATTTCCTTAAGTTCATGAAGTTGTAGCTTAAACTTTTATAGATTCTATTATCTGTAATCATAAAATGGATGATTAATGTGCTTAATTAGCTGGATAAACACTTGTTTAATTAATTTAATTATCTGATCAACCAATCTAACATAAAATTGTAACAGCACTTTCTAATCGTTTTTTGGATATCCATCATATGGAATTATATAAAGCAACATTCACAGTTCTTGGCGATCACAGTGTAAATCCAGTAAGATCATTTAACCAAATAAAAAAAGCTATTGGAAATCTACCTTTAGAACATGAAAAGGTTATTGCCAAATAAGAGGATGAAAATAAATAAGTTGTAAAAACAGTTATATTACCTGATGGTACTTATGGAACATAGGTTGTTGAAAAGTAAGATGCTGAAGAACATGTATTAAAATTAAGAGAATTATTAATGTAAAATTCTTTCCTTGCATCATCTTTGAGTAGATCATTTATGAAATTGTTATCCAAAATTTAAGAATTTAATAAATACTCTAGTTAGATGCTCTTAATTTTCTGTTCTCTCTTACGTTATTATCAAAAGAACACAGCTAAAATTGATTAAGACACTTTAGAAACTATTACATCAAGCATTGGAATCTTAACTGGTAAAAATCCACAAGAAAAATTATAAGAATTATATAAAAAATCTGATATTATTGTTGAATAGAATAATCAATTCGGATCTCATTAAAATTATGATAAAATTCTCAAATAACCTGATGATCCAATTATTATTAGATAATTAAAAGGAATCTCGGAATTTAATGAAATTGATTTAGCAGATGATGAAACATCTGTTACAACTAAATAAGAAGAAAATACTTATGTTTCTAGATTAGGACATATAGTTTAATTAACTGGATATTGTGATCCCATATATGCTGAAGCATTTGTTAATGTTCATAAATATGATATCTAATTTGAAGTACTTATGGTAAATAGATGGTCAAAAATGGTTTAAAATGTTTAAGTTGAATTTAGAACTTAAGGGGAAAGCAAAGTTATTGAAAAAGCTTAAGGTGTAATCCTACAACCTAATCAATCTGCTAGAGTTAGAACAACCATTAAATTCTCATCTTAAGATATTGGAGTTGTATATGGAGCTATTCATTATGAAAATAATGCAGGAATAGAACAAGCATATTTAGTAACAAAAGAAATCAATGTTGATTTAATTGATTTTATTTTACCTGCTACCATTTAAATTGAATAATTCAGAAAATTGTGGGCTAAATATGAATGGGAAAATAGAATTATTATTAATACTAATCATATGTAATTATCTATCTATTTTTATTTAGTGATCCTTTTAAATATGTCTCATTTTTAGAAAAACAATTAAAAGCAAAATCTATAGAAGAAAATCATCCTAAAGGAAACATAATTTGTGTTAATATGTATGCTCAGACCAAATTTGGTATTCATTTATTATTTATATATAGATGATGATTTCTTAGTAAATATAAGTGCAGAAGTTGTTAATGATAAATTATAAGGGTTTGTGAGAGTTAGAAGCAAGGTTAAAGAAATAGTAGTGAATCTAGGAGATAAAATTAAAGTCTTATAAACAAAGATTGAATGAAACACACACATATAATTTTATTTCAAATCAAATTATCACATAATCATTTATAATAATACATTAACACATTAATAAATGTCGAAACTTAAAAGAGGAATAACCAAAGATTTTGAAAAGGAACTGGAAGATCAAGCACTAGCGAAAGAAGAATTGTTTTAAGTATTACTGATATCACCATAATAACAAGCCCGTTGTCTAAATCTATCAAGATTACCAATATTTATCAGAAGAATAAATCGATGTTATTGCTAAAATACTTCAAGTTATTGATTTTTTTAAAGAAAATTGTCCTGACACACAAACATTAATGGAATTTACTAAATTATGTTGCCAAAATCTCATTTATGAATTCATCCACAAAGATTCTCCTGTATTTCATATTGGTAGATTTTACCACCATATGTAGATGATGTTGGCGATAAATTTTATATAGTGTTGAGTGGTAGAGCAGGAATCTATATTAGAAGATAACCAGCATCTATTGAAGCTGATGAAGCTGCTGCTTAACCAAGAATTTTATGAATTGATGAAATTTTATGGTTAAATTATTAAAAAATAGGCTAAACCATAGAAAGTTATTGATTCTGAATTAATTTTATTTAGATCAGGAAATTTTGAAAAATATTTCACTAATTAAGGAATTTGTAAATTTATGTTAGTTGCTTAAAAATAATCTGGTACAATCTTTGGAGAAATGGCATTAACTAATGATAAACCTAGAACTGCCAGTATTTTAGGTTTAACTGATCTCAAATTATTATCATTATCAAAAGCTAATTTTAAGGTAATTCAAAGATATTAATATAGTAAGTCGGAGAAAAAGGAATGAAAGCATTGTAATAAAAGATAGACTATTTTGTAAAAATGTTTCCACATATGACGAAACATAAAATGTCTAAACTTATTTTATATTTTACATCTGCCAAATTTCCAGCTAACTTTTTCATTTGGAAATAAGGAGATGAAACAGATGGATTCTTATTATTAAAAGATGGTGAAATGTAACTATTATAAAATGTTGAATTTCCAAAACCACCAAGTCAGAATAATGTAGATTTTACATTAATGTCTCTATTTCAAAGTTCTAAATAGGAAGTGAAAGATATTAAAGAAACTATTATATTGGCTAATCTAACAGGAGGATGTTTTGTTGGTAACAGAGGTAGTTTAAAAAAAGGAAAAAAGAGACTACTCTGTTAAAACATTAACCATTTGTAATTGTTATTGTCTTTCTTTAGAAGTAAAATATTATATTAATTATTTTGAGAATTATCATATTGTGAGGAAAACATTTCCTGAATTCTTTTAAGCTCTAAATTCTTTACAACAAAGAAATAGCTATCTTTTCAGAAAGAGAATTGAAGATATTGTAAAGACAAAGAGTTGTAACTTTTATCTTACAAAGAAGGAAGAAGCATTAGCTGTTGAAAGAAGATATGCAAATGAATTTGGTAAAGAAGAAACTAAACCATTCTTATCAACTCCTATCCTTCGTTCAACATTTTAATCAAAACTCTCAAAGTAATAAATGGTTGAATAAAATAAATCAATTATTGATTAACATACTAAATTGGATGAATAATTTGGTGAAAAATAAGAGGAATTTAATATGTTAAAATTGGCAGGAGATAATTTCTAAAAATGTCTTATAATAAGAGTAGAAAAATAATTTGAATAGTTTTAGCCAGCTAAACCAAAGTATTATATTGTTATAAGGTAGATCCAAAACTCCCTATTTTAGTAAATCAAATATTACTGTTAAAGATTTATTATAATCAGTTCGCCGTAGATAAATCCCTTCATTTGCTACAAATAGAGATTAATTATCTGCAAGGCAATCTAATGAAGAAGATTCTTAATAATTACCCTAAATAAAAGTGGCTAAATAACATATCAGAGTTGTAAATCCAAACATTTCATCAAAAGTAGATATTATCAAATCAAATTATTAATCATTTATGAAATCAAAATCTATGAGTTCTAGATTAGATAGATTATCAGAAAATCAAATGTAAGGATTTATGTTGACAGATTCTATAAATACTTATCATCCATTACATAGTTTTTAAAATAAAGATGACTAAACAAAAAATAAAAAAAGAGTTAAAACACAATCTAAAGTTGAATCTGATTATTAAAAATCAATATTATGAAATATAATATAATTGTAAATTTTATAATATTCTATTAAAAATAGTAATAATATTCATGGTTATTAAAATTAAAATTTGATTTAATAAAATATATTTTAATATCTATGATATAACAAGTCTAAACAACATTGAATTAGAGCTTGAATAAATAATTAAAAGACTTAATGATTATTTGGAAGAAGCAAACAACTTTTTTAAAGCAAAAACTAAATATCATTTATTACTCTTTACACAATCCACTATATTAAATGGAGATAGAAGATGTAATTAGATCTATCTGAACAAATAAAATTAAAGATCTATAAGAAGATCTATCAGTATCAATCAATAATTTCAAATATTATTTTTTAAATAGATTTTCAAGTGGAATTTTAAAAAACTCTCTAATTTAGTTTTGAAATTATTAAATAAAATTTCTTTAAGTTTAATATGATTATATAAATAACTACTAAATCATCTGTTAATGTATTAATTCAACCTTTTCTCCTACTTCAATTTAAAACTGTAATATTCAAATTAAAGACTCATTAGCATTCTATTAGTGATTCTAAATTGTGATAGAATATTTTTTTTGATCGATACATCTTCTTTAATGGATTTATCAAATCTTTATATATATTAGATTAGCTCTTTTTCTGTTCTTATACTAAATAATTCAGATTTCATCAAATAAATTAAATAAAGATGAATCTCATAAATTTCAAGATTTAGTATCTGTTATTGTATTAAGGAAAATATAAAAAATATCACTTTATAAAATCCTATTTGAGTATTAGCATACATTTACCTTTCCATTCTTCAGCTAAAAATAAATCCCATATCACATTTAAAAAAGCTGATTTATAGCTATAATGAAATAAATGTGAAAATAAAGTACTTAACCAAGTAGCTACACAATAAGAGATATCAATTTTCTAATGTATCAAATATGAAGATAATTCAGGTAAAAAAATAGAGAACAATCTTTCAAAAATAAATAATTCAGTTTTCTATAATAAATAATTGATTTTTACCAATTTTGAAAAATCATTAATATATAATTCTTTAAAATAAAGATTCATCATTCTATCAAAAATCTTATATGCAATTTCCTAATCCTCAAAAGTGAAATATAGATATCCTGCAATATAAGTCATGCTTTTACAATATTTATTTAATATCTTAATTATATAAGGTATAGATTCTCAATATACTTAAAAGTTCTTCTGATTAAATTTAGTCTTAGTGTATGTCAAGAATTTGCTCAACATCATCATGAATTAAATCCCTTATAAATTTATCCTAATCAAAAGAGTTTTCATGATCATCAACACCTATTTAAATTCCAACATTTGTTTTCATTTCAAAATAATCAATATTGAATTATTTTAATTTTAAAGCCTAAGACATTAATCTCAATCTCAATTTATGAGTAGATTCCTCTGAAAACACTTAGTAATTTCCCATATAAAATTTCTTAATTTTATTTTTTAGTTAATTATTAAAGTTTCGATTAAGAATTAGTAACTTTTATGGTTAATCATGAATAGATAAAAATCTAATAATAAAACAATCCTTACTTTAAACAAGCTCCACATCCTTGGATTACTTTATTCTCATAAATATTAAGTTATTTTTTCTAATATTTTTAAGATTTATGAGTTAGCATTTCTTTACTTGATTTGAACAATTTCTACGATTATGTATTAGGAAATTATTCCTATTGTTTCAATAATTTTACCAAATGATATATACTAATTTTATCATTGCATTTTTATGCTATTTTAATAATTATTTCTGTAGATAATTCTGTAGGTAATTGCAAGGAAGAGATAAATAGATTAATTTCATCTAAAATTAAATCATTTTTTGTTTTTTTTATCTAATCATGTAATTATTATTCAATAAAAAAGTATCCTTCCATAATTGATTAAGCTTATTTTTTCTTTTCATCAATTTTATTGACTCTAATAAAGTAAAATAATTCTATCCATGTATCTATCTTAGTCCAAAGAGGAATATCTGATAATTATGAGGCCAAAGTAATTTTATCTTTTCCATCTATTGTTATAATTGTAACTGATTTTAATAATAAATCATAAATATCATAGATTTCATTCAAATGAATATAATTTAACCAATATCTAATTAATTCTAATAATTCCATAAACTATACTTTAGTTAAGGTTAAATAAAATCCTATTATAATATTGAAATTTACTTGCTTATTTCTATTTAAATAATCTAGTGTATAATTAATTCAACCCAAAAATAAAATAATGTCTACCAGTCGATTTCTCAAGAATTTACTTAATGTTTTTTATTTATTCAGATTTATCTGAGAGATCAATTTAAAATAATTATAATAAATATTGATCTAAAAGTTTCTAATCTTCTACTTAAATTTCATCTCCATCCTAATCTTCTACTAAATTTTCATTTTCATCGCTTGAAATAGGTTAAACTTGAGCACTTGATATAGGTTATATTTGAGCACTTGAAACCTATGTCTTTTCAATTTCTCTCAACAGTTTTACTTAGAGAGAATTGTAAAATTACTCTTATCTTGTAAACCTACATTATGCTCCTTTCTCTAAAATTTATTAACAAACTTCTCCATCTGACACATTTCTCAAAATATTTTCATTTAATACTGGATTGTATTGAGAGTATAAATAATTATGAAAATGGCTATCTATTATATCAATATTTGTTTAATGAGTTTAGATTCTCTTTGGAAAAATCCAATGTCGTTTAACAATAAATATAATACATCCAACCACTTATAAAGCAAAATACAGAGGATCGAATATAGGATGAAAATATCCATCTGGTTTTAAAAGTATTAGGGAATGAGATAAATATTAATTAAAAGTAATAAGCAACATGATTATATTCTTTAATCTTCGTTTAAATTTTATCTTTTAATGAGTTCCATTATGAATAAGTTAATATTTATTTAACCAATAGATAATTAAAATTGATATGATAGTTATAGGATAGCAGATTGGAAACAAACAACCAAATAAGCTACATAAGTTAACTAAAATAAATAATTAAATGCTTTTTTAATGGAAATCTATTTTTTTTAAATATAATTTGTTAGCTTCAAATTAAGTTAAATTTGATTATTTATTGAAATATTTGAAATAAATAATTCTAATTAATTACCAGGCATACTTATAATCTATTATTGAAAATATCATTTAAAAGATAGCATTTAACAAAATTATCATTATTATATCTTCATTAAACCCTCCAGATATCCAAAACTTTTCTTATCTATCACTTTCTTTGACATAAAATTTTGAAACAATAGGAATCATATAATACAACATATAAGTCCAAAATACTTTAAAAAATTCTGTATATTTCCATATTTTGAATTTTATAAACATAGAATCGAACAATTTTTTACTCATTTAATTAATATTAGTTATTAATAAATTTAAATTACATATTAAAGAAAATCAATAATATAAGCATTTTGATAAAACATCTTAATATGACTTTAGAAATGTTATTGTTTAATATAATGAATCAAATTCATCTTGGATTACAAATTTTATAACTAGTGATTCTGATATTTTTAAATTAAATGACTCTGAACTATGTTATTCATATTTGTCCTTAGATATTGCTCAATTAGGTTTCATTTATGAATTCATAATGTGGGGATGGCTTCATGTTTTTTTAGGTAGAGCAAGGATTCTATCATTTAGATATTAGAAACTAAATAAAGTATTTATGTATTTATAAAATTTTTGTAGAAATTAATTTACTCATATTTAATTTCACTATTTTTATATATACCATATATGATTTTTTATTTTCCTGACAGAGATATTAATTTCATTGGTGTGATAGGGTTGCCCTGCACTCCTATTTTAATGATGTATTTTTGTTTCAATGAAATTACTTCAAAAAGATAATTAAAAAAGTTAAAAAAAAATATATGATCATTTTATAACTTATAAGTAATGTTCACATAAATTCAAACGTTGCATCTATTTCTATATTATTGTACATTGCACATATGCCATACTTAATCCACAAGTGTTTATTATGAAAAGTTTTCATACATCTTGAATGTATCCATAGGTATAATGTCTGGCTCAAAAAAGAAACCATAAGCAATAATTGCACTTTTCTATGATTATAATACTTTCTTTTTTTATTTAAAAATGTTTTTACCTCTAAATACCAATTTAATACCAATTTAATATAAGCATTCTGTTGCTCTTGCAAACAAATAAATTCTTAGAATATTTTATACATGAGGATTTTAAGTAATAAAACTTAATCCTCCTCCAATAAAACCTGATATAGCAGCATTCCAACCATCTTCGTTTTATCGAATTGTTCTTAAAAGACATTATATACATTTTATTAAAAATGTTTAGATTCCCATAAATAAACCTAAATGAAAATTAGTTCTAAGATGTATTGTTTTTATTATACCTATTAATCAAAATATTAAACACTAATTTTATTTTATATTCTGATTTAATAATCTTCTTAGAACTCATTACTAACATTATTGCATTTAAACAAAGTTTTGCTAAAAATGTTTTTGTGAATGCTTCTATCATCCCTCTTAACATATTCATAATACAAGAATTCTTATGTTAACAAAATGGAGTTGTAGAATAAAGTAACTTACATAAATAATTTAATGTATTTGATTTTCTTTACATTTTATATTATAATTATAATTTTTGTTTAAATTATTGAAATTTATAATATTATTTTTATTATATATCAAAAGATATAGAATCTGATTTCATCTTTTTATTCTTTTCTATACTTATCTTACTGTTGTTTATTTTCTAATTCTCTTTATAATTATTTCCTAATTTTATTAAGTTTCTGTTTTCTTCTTTCTTCCGCAACTCCTTTTTATTCCTAATTTTTAACTCTATAATTATTTCATTTAAATAATTTCTTCATCTAATAATTCATCTTCTCTTCTTTTCAATCATTATTCTTACTAATAGTTATCTTAATTATCTCTATTTCTTAATCTTGATATCTAATTACTATAACTAAATCTATTTATTAATTCATCAAAATTACTATTATTATTCACTTCAAATACAGTGTTTTTCAAATTCTATTGAGTAGCATTAACATTTTATAAACATTATTCAAATTCATTTAAAATTTCAACTCTTTTAGCTTTTTAAGATATAAATATGATTTATTTAAAACAATAATGATTAAATTGTTATTGTACTTCATTCTTTTGTTTTATATCATCATTCCAATTGGTAACTATTATGGCCATTCTTTATCTATCTAAAGGATAAAGTGTTTTAATCATATCTAATACTCTTTTATTCATTGTATCAGTTCTTTAATATTATACAAAGATAAAAAAAAAGTGTATTAAATATTTTGAGAAATACTCTCTATAAGGTATGATTTTATCATCTTCATTTTTTGGACAATTGTGAAATGTGAATTTTTCTGAAATGATTGGACTTTAACTAAATTATTCAGTGCGTTTCATTCTATATTTTATCTGTTTTGGTTTTGAAATTAGATTAAATATTTTTGATTTTTCATCCCCTTCATTTGATAGAAACATAACTTAAATAAACTTATTTATGTTTATTAGACTATTCTATGTATTATTCATAATTTTAATTTTTGTACATTACTCATTTTTACTTAAATTATTAATTTGAGGAGATGATGTTTCATTTAATTTTTCAATTCTTGGCTATTGAATATCATATAAATTCTAAATCCTTTCATTTTCTTCCTCTTTTATTTCATATTTATTTTCTTATATTTTCAAATCTTAATTGTTTTTATTTGACATCTTCAAAATACGATCATCCTCTTCAATTTTACAACTTTCAGTTAATTGAGATTTATAATCTATGATTTAATTAATTAGATTATCAATGACAGTCAAATAAAAAACTTTATAGTAAAATTGAAAAAGAATAAAACCTTAGGATATTTAAAGTAAAGTAGTTTGGCATATATTACATTATTATTAGAGTAGAAATGTAAATCTAATAGATCATTTAATTCCCTCCTTCATTCAAAGAATAGTTGGTATGTCTCATATCATTGAGAATCGTTTTAGAGTTTGGAGTGGCTCTTTTAAATTTCTGCAACTTAAATTTTCTTTAGAAAGATATATTCATTTTTTACTAGAGACTCTTTTCTTATTACTTGATCGTTTGAATTTGAAACCTAACTTTAATGAAAGAATAATAAAATGAATAAAAAAGGACAAAATAAAATTGTTTTTATTATGGAAGAGTTCCTCTATTTTGCAGTTTATGTTCACAATTAAATTACTATTGAACAATTTAATTGATTATTTTTCTGCTCAATTGATTTAGGTGTTGAAAGTTACCTCTTTATATGCTTTAATACTATAAATCTAATTGCTTTTTTTATTACTTATAAATTTTGATAAATAAATAAAAATTCATAAGTAGGTCAGATTCTGAATGTTCCATTTATGATATAAATCATTTAATTAGATACAAGTTAACAAAATAATCAGTAAATTATAAACATTTTACTCAATCGATAGTTAAATTTAATGACTAACTCTTAAATTAACAAAAAAATTGCAAAGGAAGGAATTAAGGATTGTGTTTTTATTGTATGTTTGTTGTTAATCAGGGAATTTTTTTTCTTTAGGTCTTTTTCATTTAATTGTATTTTAGCACTAATAAAAATAAGGTTTAATAGAAATAATTCTAAATTTTTTTTTTATCATATTATACCTTTATTTTTGAATCAATAAATTTAGGGTCTTATCGAAATTGAACTTTTTATTTAGATTGATTTAGAATGGTTTGAGTTTATTTAAGCATCTCTTCAGGAGGTAGTTTGAGTTTGTCCTTTGTGTCATTAATGAGCAAACATTTCTTTATTGACTGTAGGTGCTATTCAGTTTATTTAATTTTATTCATTTATGTCAACTGATTTACTATACTAAATAAAGAAGCATATCATAGTTGCCTTAACGCAGATATCAGCACTTCGATTGTTATGACACCATTACACAAGACCAACATTATCAAGATTTAGTGAATTTGGCTGCAAAGTACCGGTATAACAGATTAGATCGCTTTAAAATGATTGTATTTAATGGAATGCTGCAGCGAATAAGCACATCAATCTTTAATTGAAAAGAGTTTTCGTCTTGGAACTAGACTTCAAACAGAAGAGAGAGAATTAGAAGAATTTCATTAATAGATTATCCGCAATTTGGAAGAAAAACTGATTGAAAGTTTAGTAAGATAAAAACAAAAAATTAATGAAAGCAATTCATTACAATAACGAAAATGACATTTTCGCATTCTAAGAGTCATAATAATACTTTGATTTCTGTATAATTAAGAATAATTTTAATATTCCTTTGTAGAAGAATTGATGAGTAGAATTACATTTTAAGATGTTGACCAACTGTTCATCAAAAACGATCTGAAAAATGAATGTTAAATTTGTAGAGAATCTAATGGTGAATATTCAACTATTTTATATTTATGATTGGATATTTGATAATTGTTTTATAATAAGGAATCTAATCAATCAATCAATCAATCAATTAATTATTTGTAAAATTAATATTAATTGAAAATATAAGGTATGAAAAAATTGTTGTTTTTGTTGATATTTTATTATATCTCATTTTCTTGATCTTGATTGATTCACTGGTCCAACTTCTAATTATGGATCTAAAAGTAATAAATTAATAAATTTACTTAACATTTAAAGCTAAACAATTATTCATCTATATTGTCACTTAGTTCTTCATAAGTTAGAAATAAATCTTCATTTTATTTTGAATACCTTTATTTAAAAAACTCAATATCTAAAAAATCCCATTCTTTTTCTGAGATTTGAGACGAATCCTATTATATCATTTGTTTGTCTAGCTTTTGTTTAATAGAAAAGTATTTAAGTTCAATTATAAAAGGATAAAGACTGAGAATTTTATTGTTGATTGTCTCTTTGCATTATTAGTTAATCACATCTATTGATAAAATCACAATTATAATATTTTTAAATTTCTTGACTATTGATTCAATTGATTCATAAATTGATAATAATAGAGAATTGCACTCGTCACTTTTTTTGATAATTGCAATTCTTAAAAATTCTCCAGATTCCTCCAAACCATAAATTTTCACTTAACAAAAATTAATTAACTCTTTATTACTTTTTTTTTTCTTTTCAATTTCCTCTTAAAGTGATGGAGTAATTTTTTCTGTTAAGAATTAATAATCCTAGAGAAATAATTTCATATTAAAGTTTCCACAATCAATTATGCTCTTTAGCTATAATTCTTTCTTAAATTAATCAATAAAATCTGTATGAGCGCCTTTGTAAGCTTAGAGCGATCCAATCTCCAAGTATAAATTCAAGATGGCGGATAAACTGAATTATTTGGTATTTAGCTTACTAAAATCAGAGGTAAATTTCTTTATTATCAAGGCATAAAATTCAGATCTGGTTTCTAAGAATAGATTTTCTTATGTTTTAAAAGTTTTTTAGACCTTCTAAACTAATAATTGTTACTCTTATTAAATGTTTGATAGAGTGTTAATAACATTCACAAATTGATCCTGATAACATATTAAATCAAGATACAATCTATTTTCATACTACTTTTATGCTTTGGGGATGAATTCTTAAGCTTATATTTATTAACTGGGGTGTGAACTTTATTAGGAGGATTCTTATTTTCCAATACTTAAGAAAAATGTATTCGTAATTTTGATTTGATCAATTTTTCCTTTAAATTGAACATAATTTTATTTACAATATCTTTCATATAATAATAAAAGAGAAACTAATCCTGTAGGTTATTGTTCTTCATAGCAAATAAAAAATTCTTACTCCTTTAGCTTGTTTAGATTTTATTGACCAAGTAATTCTATTGGAGTTTCTTCTTATTGTGGTGCTTCAATATTTTCTTGTAATTTTTCATTTGATATTTTTGGTTGGTTTATTTGTTACTATTAAATTTCTTAAGTTTATAGTTATCTTTTCCAAATCCTATGATATTATTCTCCTAACTTTTCTATTTAAGGCTCCAATAAAAATTAGGAGATGATAATAAATTAAAATTTTTCATCTACATTATAACCACAACTTTACTGAAATTATTTACAGATGCATTCAACTGGGATGCTGTAAAACATGCTAACGCATTGACTGCAAACTCTGTTTTCTGTAGTTATTTCAAGGTAGATTTTTGAAAGGCTTTCAATAACTACTATTTTTTTTTATATCTCTAAATCTTAATTTAAATTTTTAATTATTGATATGTTAAGGAAAATATCTGCTAAAAGAAATAATATCATAGTTCTTTCACCATGAGGTTCAGAATAAGATTTTATAAATTTTTGAAATGAATCTTTATTCTATAAGAGTTAAGCAAACTCATCCTAAAATTAAGCATAATCACAAAATTATCTATTTTCAAATCTCCCTATAGGGTATTTAAAATCGATAAGTTACTCATCCTTTTATTTGAAAACAAATCTGATATTTCCAAAGGCTATGTTGTTTTTTCTAAGCACATAATCTTCTTTTACTGATTATTCTATTTTATCTTTTTAAAGGTTTGATAATTAAAAGTATTTAAAGAAATCATCTAACAGAATTTCATAATCCAGATTTAATTGATTAAGGATGTTATTTTCACGAAAATGATCAAAAATCAAAAAATAATTGCTATGTTATTCATTTATTATATCATCAAGTAAAACCTATGTTATACTTTATTTTCTGAGTTTATCTTTTAAATATTTACTCTATTTTTTAGTAAACGATTTAATATATTCATCTTAATAATAGATATCCACGTATTAGGCCAATATATTTTTTCTCTCCTTTCTGTACAAAATTAGTTAATAAATATAGTAACAAAAATTAGGAGGAATTTATAAAGGGGCAGAACGTTGAAATCCAAAACTTGAAAGCCAATAGTATAAGGCCTCTAATTAGAGGATATCCAATTAAAAATTTTAGATAAATTTTTAGAAATCCACTTAATGTTTTTCAGTTGAGTAAATTAGAATACCCTCATTTTTTTAGTTTATTTTTAGATTCGATACACTACCCTTATGACTACTATTTAAAGAATTCTTTTCTTTATTGAAGAATTCTTCCATACCACTTTTTTTGGTTTTAGAATTCTAGCCATATTGTGAATCTTTATCATAAGTTGAACAAGAATAGCTCCTTCTATTTTTTGTTAGATTAATTTTCATAGAAATTTGAGAACAATAAGTATAGGTCTAATCAATGGAACACGTTCGGTTTACTCTAGTAAATACTTTCAAATTGCTTGGAGCTCTTTAACATTTAGTCCTTAAATTGTTTGTATGAAATGATTGGATCATTTATATAAGTTTATTTAATTATTAAAAATATTTTCTTAATGCAGCTTTTAAAGCTTAAAATTTTAACTAAAATTTGAGTGAGAAAATTTCACTTCATAATTTTTAGAGGTCTTAAATTTAAATCTGAGTATCTTGCTTTAGATGAAATATTTTTAACGTAATTGCTGAGATATTGTATCTTCTGAAATTCCTTGTGATAGATTCTTTGTTAGTTGGGTTCGGTTGATACTTCCGTTTTTATGACATTGATTATATCTACAAAATAAATGCTATTATTATCTACAAATCATAAGCCAATCGCGTACTATTTTCTTTGGGGATATTGTATTTGACCGCATAAGGGATTCCTTGTGATAGATCCTTTGTTAATTGGGGTTGGTGATCATTACTGTCGATATTAGATGCGATGCATTGTATGGGTTTTGCTTTACAAAGTCAATAATCTGTATAGTAAATAATCTTGCAAAGCCTACTAATTTTATATCTAAAAATAATCATACGATAGGCTAAGATTTTTTGTGATTGACTAATTGTAGATTGTCTCATTCTGGCTGCTGGGTTTGGGGTTGGTTGTCCTGCGTTT